GCAGCATAAAGTTTCTTGTATGATAAAGCTTCCACCAACTTCAATGTCGCCAAAGACGCTGCAACAGGGTCTTTGCCAGTAGAAGTTGGATCTTTGAAAGGACCATCGAAGGAAGAACTTGCCGCTAGCACAAGCATCGCCCAGTCCACATTCTCGACTCTAACTTGTTGAATTCCGAGCTTTGTGATCACCGAGCCAGCACCACTGCTCGTTCTAACTTCCATCACAGCAGCAAAGCTCATGCCAGTCTTTTGGTCGCTTTCACATCGAGGAGAGGATAATGTTGGTTCCTCGACGTGAAGCGGACACTGGCCTTGCACGACGATGAAGTTGGAGTCTTTTACGTATGCATTGGTCTGAAGAGGACTGTCCAAAGTTGCGGAGAAGCTGACAGCACCGGCTTTGGATGAAGTTATCCTGATCACGATAACCTGGTGAGGATAGCTCGCAAAAACTTCCCTTGTGTAGTTTATGCCGCCAACGGCATAGCTGACCGAGACGAGAGCAGTGTTTAAGTCGAGCTGCCTGTGATAGCTTTGAGCGTCATACGTGGCGTGAGACGCTCCAAAATCGAGCTTTATATCACCGAGGGGCTGATAAACCTGGGGAAAAAAAGAAAGTCCTCGAGCTTTCAAGTGAGAAGTGAAGTTACCTCTGTGTATGGACCAAGCATTTCCTTGGACAAGTCCGAAGCCTCGGCATATTTTTCGTCCCAAACCAGCTGACGAACTTTGGGAAGAACTTGCACGGCATTGGGATTGTTCCAGTCTCTCGGACCACCAGACCAAAGTGTATCTTCTGCGCAAGATGAGAACATAAATCCATGCTACAAGTATATGTTTCTAAAGAGTCCATAGAAACATATGAACTTTTAGAAAGTGGATGCATTCACACAATTCAAGAGGAAATAGCAGTGCACAAGTAGCACAAAACCCTATGAATCCAGACGTTATCACGTACCATTGAGCTGGATGAGGTCGGACGATGATCCTCCAAACACCATAGCTCCCAATCGCCCATTCCCAACAGGTAGTGCTTCCACCCAATACCTGGCGGGATCGAAGAAATCCACGCTTAGGAGCTCCTCCATTGAACTCTCCGTCTCCATCGCCGTGACAATGACGCGCCCTAGTGTCACGCAAAATGACTGCCATTGCCAGCATTTGTCTCTTAGCGCTCTCTTTTCAAAATGAGATTCCCGGCAACACGGCAATAGATCAAAGATTTGCCTGCTCAGGCTGGAATCAAATTCATCCATGCATTTGAGGAAGAACCAGGTAAAAATTCTTCCATTGTTCTTAGAACTATTTCCTTTCTCCATTTCGGTGTTTCACATATCGGGGATCCAAGCTCGCAAGCACAGTAGCGATGGCCAGCTCAATCACTCGAATCTGAACTTCTCGTGTGGGAGTTACGTGGATAACAAGACGAGATTTTTCTCCGTGGATACCGTTTCCTGAATTGCTCTACTTTCACCAATTACACGGTCATTCTCGAGGCCTTGGTGGCAAAAGTTTACGCCCGTGGGATTCCTACAGGTTAGTTCTTCTAGCTAGTTCTAAATTCTTGCTCAAAATTGAATATCTAATTTGCGTGACCAGAGCGTTGAACATTGCCATGGTTGAAGCTGGTTCTCTAGCGGCTTTCATTGGACTTGGAACTGTTGGATCAGCAGTATGTTGTAATACTGTCTCTCTCTCTCGTGCTGTGCTTCTCAAATTATTGTCTCTTTCATTTTTTTCAGGTTATCGAGGCCCCAGAATTGCGGGTGCTTCTCGAATCATGTCACCTTTGTGAAACGTCTGGCGGCCTTCAAGTCAAATTTGCTGCTTTCAAACTACTTGCTCCAATTTCATCTTGCTTTATTTTATTTTGATGTAAATCCCGGAGACTACAAGGCTTCGATCGGCAAGTTTCTCTTTTCTTTTTCTCGTCGGCATGTTTACTTGCCTTGGCCAGGCTGTGCTTATAGCAAGCCTCGGTTCATGCTCCAGTGTTTAGAGTGGTAGAGTGATAAATCTGCTGAAAACGATCTGAAACAATAGTTTGTTGGTTTTGTAGTACGGAACTTCGGTGTCGACTGCCCGACTTTTACGACACGCTTACATTTCGTCAATCAAGAGGCTTTGGCGGATACAAAGCCAACTTGATGACTTGGTGAAGATGTGCATGAATCAGGTTGCTTTCCAGCTGCTTTCATGTTAACAAATTGTTTTCTCATTTGCTTCCAGAAAATCAACATTGATGGCCTTCGCCGAGATTGAATTGCTGACTGGTAGTCTATGCACCTTTCTTTAAACTTTAATGATATTTCAGATGAAGTTTTTACTCCCTAAGAGTGTTGCTGCACATAATAAAGGCATGATTCTTGTTTTCTCCTGATCGGATTTGTACATATATCTTGTTCCTTGCGAGGATCTCTGCATGATTCTAGTTCATGCTGGTTAAAGCTGCTATCCATTTGTACTGAACTTCTAGACTCTAACGCGTCAAGAAGGAAAAAAATCGCCAGAGTATAAATTGGAGCTCCGTCATAGCGCTTCAATCAGTGAGCTTTGTCTTCTCGGCCTTGGCTTGTGTAAGTAATCCATATACTTGTTTTCGAAGCTTGTTTCGTGCTCCAGTGATCTTAATTCGATTATCACCATGGCTTTAGTGGCCAAACTTGCTATCACTCTCTCCATGCTCGGCTTTGCTCTCGTGGCCAATGCGAGCTACCTGGACACTTACTCGGGCCTCCATTGCGACAAGAATACCAGGCGCTACGACTCGTGTGGATGCAACAACATCGACTTCAAGCAGCAAAAAGGCTATAAGTTCGTCTACACCAACGGCCAGAGCGCCACAGCTTACTCTGGCACCCGTTGCCAGAAAAGAGCCGGTGTCTCCTTCGATCGCAATGACTAGCAGTGTAAGTTCTGCACCTGGAAGAGCATCTACATCCAGTGCTCTCCACCATCACAGCCACCTCCACCTGGATCACCACAGACGCCACCACCATCACAGCCACCTCCACTACCACCACCACCGTAGTGGCCATTGCCACCAATGACTAGCACAGCACTAGAGGCGTCCCTAGTGGTGGTGGGAGTGCCAATCCCAGTTCCACTCCCAAATCTGCTACTCCTCACTCCACCATCACTACCACCATAACCACCACCTCCAGCTTCCCCGGTGATGGAAGCCTCCAAAGCAGACGTGGTAGGAGTTCTTATTCCAGATTTACCTCTCACTCCACCACCGTCACCATCATCATCAGTGCCACCTCCATCTCCCACACATATGGAAACGTTTGCAGTGGGAGTTCCTATCCCAAATCTTGCCACTCCACCACCACCATCGTCACCTTTAGCCCCTCCACCTTCGACTTAAATGACCTTCACTGTCACCACCGCTCAAAATGTTGCATTTCCTTTTGTTATGCTAACCGCGTCGTTTAATCAAAGTATTTGACTTCCGTTGACGTGTCTTTTAGCGTTTCCTATTCCTAGAGAGTTTTCCACGCGAGTTTTAGATTCTTCGGCGTCCGAAATGGTAGGCTTACTTGGTATTCTACGACTAGTTATCTAAGCAGTGGATGATTTTCCAAGCATAAAAAGGCCCTATTGAGCGACGCTCAAAAGCTTCATTTAGTTTCAAACGGAAAATGGCTATTTCCACAGCTCAAGTCGTGTCTATCGCCTGGCTTGCATTCTTTGTTTTATCAGTTGTTTCATCGGATCCAGATCCACTCCAGGACTTTTGCATTGGAGATACAGCGCCAACACCACAAACATCAATCGCTCAGGGGCAATCTTTGGAACAGTGCGAAGGTTCCCGGGTCTCAACACTTTGGGTCTCTCCATCGCCAGGCTCGACTTTCTTCCATACTTGCATCCGAACATTCGAACGCAACCGGATTCGAACGGGTATTGAACGTTTAATACCCGTTTAGCTTTTTTTCGAACGGGTATAATGGTTTTCAGTTTTTTTCGAACCCTGATTTTACGGTTTTTTTCGAACATGAACCCTAATCCTAAGTAAAAGAAAGCATATTCTTTAGGGTTTTTAAAAATATTCTTGGTGTTTAAACGCCGTTTTAAACGCCGTATTATACGCGCGTTTTAAACGGCGTTTTTTATTAATCGTACCCGTTCGAATGCAAGTATGCTTTCTTCCCGGTGGAATCATCCCTCCACACACCCATCCCAGAGGCTTGGAGATGCTCTACGTAGAAGAGGGGAGCGTCTATGCCGCCATTGTCACCACGGACAATCGCTTGTTTGCTCGGGTGATCAACAGGGGCGAAGTTATGGTGATTCCTCGCGGATTGATTCACTGGCAGATGAACGTTGGAAGAACAAATGTGAAGATCATTGCCATTCTCAACTCCCAGTTTCCTGAATCCAGTTTATTGCAGCGTCCATGTTTGGGTCTCGACCACAAATCCCGAATGAGGTGCTCGAGAAGACTTTTTTCTTGGACGAGACCACTATCAATCAAGTCCAATCCAACTTTGTTTCTTGAGTTTTTAATCAAATGTACAGTAACCAAGTTACCTATTTATCTATTTAAAAAAGGACCCTACTTGCAAAATGCCGTATGTAACATCAAACTAGCAAAACATCCTTTCTAATTTCAGGAAGCAAATCCAGTGGAGAACATTAGTCAATGTTGACTATCTTCGTTGATTTTACCTTGAAGGCTCCCTTGAACTTTTGCAGACTAGATGTTGATCCAAATTCCTTGTTCCAACATGGTGGCTCACTCCGAATCATAGCTCAACGTCTGAATTACAGTTCTCAGTATAAATATGGTTCTCCTCCACATATCTAGCATTACATTTCAGCAATACATCTACCTAGTCGCAAAATCACTCAAGTTTTTCTCTATGGCTCTCTTCAATTCCCAAGCTGTTTTGTTAGCGTTGCTTGCATTCTTTGTTTTCTCAGTAGTTTCATCGGACCCAGATCCACTCCAAGACTTTTGTATTGGAGATCCCAGCGTTGTCCCGGGCATCAATGGAGGATAAATCCTCGGGGAATCACCATAACTTCGCCTCTGTTCATCACTCGAGCAAACAAACGATTGTCCGCGGTGACAATGGCGGCGTAGACGCTCCCTTCTTCTACGTAGACCATCTCCGAGCCTCTGGGATGGGTGTGTGGGGGAATGATTCCTCCGGGATGGAAGTCGAGCCTGGCGATGGAGGGACCCAAAGTGTTGAGACCAGGAAACCTCAGTGCTGTTCCAAAGATGGCACCGGAGCGATTGATGTTTGTGGTGTTAGAGGAGTTGACGATTCCACTGTAGATGAAATCATCTACTGTGACTGTTGATGGGTTCCTGCATGGGAAACTGGCAGATGAACGTTGGAAGAACAAATGCGAAGATCATTGCCACTCTCAACTCCCAATTTCCTGGAATTCAATTTATTGGATCGTCCTTTTTTGGGTCTCGACTCCAAATCCCAAATGAGGTGCTAGAGAAGACTTTCTTCTTGGACGAGAACACCATCAATCATGTCCGATCCAGCTTTATGTAAAATTTGTTATGTATTCATTTTTTTCCCTTTTTCTATAAAAGAAAAAATTTCAAGTCTTGAAATCATAAGAGTACTCTGAGTGACCGTATATCCGCAAAGATCATAAACTTTAGAGAATGCAAAGATTATCAATTATATCATTGTCGAGCTACTTTGACATGATCATGGATTTAAATGGGATCATGTAAACCATAGACTTTTCTTTGTATTAAGACTTTCAGTTCATTAAACTCCTCGATTCAAAACAACTTTAGCTTGACTTTCACCAAGTTTGACTGCCGGATTTTCGCACAACCAAGTTATTGACTAAAAGTTTTTTGTTCCAGCATGGTTGGCTGACTCGGCGTCCAAAATCGTGTTTCACGTTAGCCATCCATGAAAAAAAATCAGCAAATTTTCCAGTTATAAAAGCTGGAGTGCTTGGACAGCCAAGGCATTCACACGCATTTCATCCATTCATCCCTCCACCACGATCCGAAGTTCTAGAGTTTTAGAACGAAGATGGCTCTCTCCAAAGCTCAAGCTGTGCCGGTTGCCTTCCTAGCATTGTTTGTTTTCTCAGTAGTCTCATCCGATCCAGACCCACTCCAAGACTTTTGCATTGGAGATCTCAATGTTGTGCCCGGTATCAATGGCTTCCCTTGCAGGAACTCATCGACAGTCACCGTGGACGATTTCATCTACAGCGAAATCGTCAATTCTTCCAACACCACAAACATCAATCGCTCAGGGGCAATCTTTGGAACAGTGAGAAGATTCCCAGGCCTCAACACCTTGGGTCTCTCCATCGCCAGGCTGGACTTCCTTCCCGGAGGATTCATCCCCCCACACACCCATCCGAGAGGCTCGGAGATGGTCTACGTAGAAGAGGGGAGCGTCTACGCCGCCATTGTCACCACGGACAATCGCTTGTTTGCTCGGGTGATCAACAGGGGCGAAGTTATGGTGATTCCTCGCGGATTGATTCACTGGCAGATGAACGTTGGAAGAACAAATGCGAAGATCATTGCCATTCTCAACTCCCAGTTTCCTGGAATCCAGTTTATTGCAGCGTCCATGTTTGGTTCCCGCCCAGAGGTCCCGGCTGAGGTGCTCAAGAAGACCTTCTTTTTGGATGAGAGGACCATCGAGCAAGTGCGATCCAAGTTTGTTTGAATTTATTTCATTAATCTTTAAACTTAAAATGAAATTTAAATATAGAGCAAATCGTTGAGCATGAACTTGGTTGATTCGTCACAGAAGAAGCTTTTGGGTGGATTCATTTCTGGAAGCAGAGGGATGTGAGCAGGGTGCTCTGCTCCACATTGGACATGCAAGCATACAGGACCTGCTCGTTGACTTGGAGAAGATTAATGAGGTGAATGCACACCATCGCTTGCATTTCTAACATCGATGGATCATGGTTGAAGTCTGGGATGTGCTCCCCATTTAGCTCATTATATATATATACAGGTCTTCTCCCCTCTAAAAGATGAAAATGTGATAATTATAAATTTGGTGGAACATTTATATATTCTACTAGTCAATTATAGAATGCCATAAGAACTTGAAACTCTTATATAACAACTAACGTAATTACTAACAACTATGATAGAAACAAAATACAAAGTTATGGCATAAGTATCAATTAACTACAGAATCTTGATAAATTAGTTATAACTCTATGTAATTGCTAAATGTTCAAATCAACCTTAAAACCATAATTTTGAACCAAAGCAAAGGACTTTAAGAATTGCTAAAGTCCATAAAACACTATTGCAACAAATAATACATCATGCCTTTAAGTCTGCCCACTAGCCATATACTAAGATTGTTGTTAATTCAGACTTATGACCATTAACAAAATCTGTCTATATCTCTTCCATTTGGTCAAGATTTGAGTTTTTATGTTAACTCAAACTTCTAACTTTCATTTTCATATAGCACCACATAAGCACTCCATTCATCTTTTATATCCTCTCTATCTCCTTTTTGAAGGAAAAAAGTTTTAAAGCATCAACTCTATCTAAATTTATTATAATCATACTCATTTTGCTATTTAGATTTGGCCTCATTTTCCTATAGTATCTATTTAGCCTCATTATATTGAGGTTAAATATTTTATTTAAACTCATTATATTTATCCTTACTCCAAAATTTGTATAATTTATTTTCACTCCACTATTATATCCATCTAACTTCACTCAATCAATAGAGCTAAACTCTCATTTGGCCATCCCCTTTACCCCCTCCTCAAAGAAAAAAAAGCTTAAAATGTTAAAATAAAAAGGAGAAAGTAAGAAAAATTGAAGAAGAAACATTATGGAAGAAAAAAAAGTGGATAAAGAAGTATCCAAAAAGAAATTTTCAATAACTATCAAAATGGATATAGTGAAGTAAAAAGAAGAAAATGTTTTTAAAACTTAAAGAATAAAAGATACGTTGTTATAAAATACTTTATTCACCATAAGATAAATAAGAGATTCATATAGCTCAACTTCCTTAACACATAACTTAATACTTAAAATAGAAAAATCTAGAAAACACATAAACTTCTCAATAAAAATGGTAAAACAATTTTTTTCACTAACACTTACAATCAAGAATATGCACTCAACCCAAAATTTTGGTAGAAGTGATCAAGAATAAGAGAATACTTAATACTAGAACTGATTAAAGACTTCGTAACAAAATAAAAATAAAAATCTCAACTTCACACATGCTTAATATCTAGATTAGTATAAGGACAAAAAACTCTTAATTCAAATACTGAATTAATGAGAATCATAAAAGTTACAATAATCAACATGTTAGGAGAAGGAAATATTTTAAATAAGAAATGGCTCAAACCAAGAACTTTAGGAAAGAGTAATGTAAGCTACAATTTTTTTTTTTTAATTTGCTAGTTTACCTTGTTTATCTGATCACCATGGCCTTAGCCTTAATTATATTCTTTCGCCAATGTTCCTATTTATTGTACTAGCTTTTACTTGGTCCTATTTGGTTTCAACAACTCACTACTCAAGCAACAAACTGTTAGCCATCCATTCACAGATTTCTAAATTCTCTTCCAATCCCCCCTTCTTGGGTTAGACTAGACTTAAGATTCGGTTACACTCCCCGCAAGCACAAGCAGCCAAGCACACTAAACTTCTAAATTCTTAACATTCTTTGGTACAATAAAACTTGATTATAAGACCCTCTAAATCCTAAGCCTCAAGGGTAACATTTGCTTCTGGACACCAGAAGGAAACACTGTGGCATAACAGCTCTGTATGGGTATCCCTACTTGTAGCACACTTTATTTATCTCCCCTTAAGCCAACTGAAAAAGGGGTAATTGCTTGATGAGAGAGCCCTTAGTGGTTATTTTATCCCCATTTATCCCAAAGTTCCAAAGATCCACGGTGATAGTATATCCAAATCTCATCCCATGTGACTTACTATAGCACACCTTATCTTTCTCCCATTAAGCCAACTGGAAAATGGGCAATTGCTTGATGAGAGACCCCTTAATGGTTATTTTATCCTCATTTATCCCCTAAGGTTCCAAGGATCCACGGTGACAGTATATCCAAATTTCATTCTATGATCACATGCATTACACTCACCCCCCCTTTAGAGATGTAAATGTCTTTATTGACTATTGATTAACAACCGTTATCGAGCCAAGGGAACTAACACTTCCATTTCCAGATTGAATTTACCAATCCTTCCATTGTGTAGATTACCTATTCCATGTATGTGAGGCAATTAATCATCCACACATACTGCAGTTATACGGTAGATACCTTCCATAGATACTCCATACAAGAGGAAGGACGTACGTATGGATGCCCAATACATACGATTTCAAATTTAAGGGTAAGAATATACCTTGCTCAAGGGTATATTATATTTTTAAATAGCCACTAATTAATGGGAATCGAACCCGTGTCATTTGCTCCAATACCAACTGTAGCACACCTTATCTTTCTCTCCTTAAGCCAATTGGAAAAGAGGCAATTACTTTATGAAAGAACCCTTAATGGCTATTTTATCCCCATTTATCCCCCAAAATTCCAAGGATCCATGATAACAGTATATCCAAATCTTATTCCAAAATCACATGCGCTACACTATTCCCCCACTTCCATCCCAAAAGGAAGGCCTAAGCCCCTAAAAAGGGCAAGGATTAATGAGTTGCAAAATACTCAAGTGGGGCATCACTTCATATAAACCAGGAGCACTATAGTAAGTTTCCTTTTCGAGAGTGAGAGCTGCTCTTGAGCACTTCCTTGGGTGGCCCCTCCGGCACCACCTAAGTCTATGCTCACTCCCACTTAAGATTGGGGCCCTTAAGCCCCAATTTCAACCTCAAGTCAGTTTAAAAGCACAATTGGAAAGGTCTTTTAAAACTGGTTCCTAAACCTCACTATCCCCCCTAAGTTATCCCAAAACGATTGAAAAAGAAGGTGCACTTTTATTCATGGGCCTTTTCCTTTTATATTTAAACCCTTATGGATCGTCTTGTGAGTCATTTTCTTTAGTTGCTTACAGCTATACATACCATCTTCCTTTTTCCAGTTTGGTCCAATAAAGGCAAGACTACTCTCAAATAGTGTTTGATAAACTTTCAGTAATAGTTGCATAACCCCAAGAATACCATTAACTCGTTTACATTTGATAGTCATTCCCATTCCTATATTGCTTGGACCTTCTTAGGGTCTATTTTGAGCCCATCTTTGCCCGCCACATGCCCATCCTTACCCATTATATGTCCGAAAAACTTTATCTTTTACTAAGCAAAGTCATATTTGCTCTCTTTAATATATAGATTGTGTTCCCTTAGTTTCTCAAATACTTTCGTCAAAGTGTTTGGCATATTCCTCTAGTGTCTCGCTATAGATCAAAATGTCATCAATGTAAATGACTATGAAATGATCCAAATAGGGTACAAAAATGTGGTTCATTAGCACCAAGAATGTCACTGGTGCATTGTATAGCCCAAAGGGCATCACTAGAAATTCAAAGCTTTCATACCTTATTCAATAGGTTGTCATCTCAACATCTTCCTCTGCTACTCTGATCTAGTAGTATTTTGACCTGAGGTCAATCCTCGAAAAATATTTTGCCTTTCTCAACCTATTGAATATGTCCTTAATCCTTGGTAAAGAGTATTTATTCTTCTTTATATACTTGTTGAGCAATTGATAGTCTATGCACATATGCATAGAGCCATCTTTCTTTTTCACAAGTAACATTAGTGCCCTATATGACAACTTGCTCAACCTAACATACCCTTTTTCCACCAACTCCTCAAGTTGATGCTTGAGCTCTTTGAGTTCCTTTTTGTTCAACTAATAAGGGGGATGAGCCACTGCCTTAATGTAATCAACCAAAGAGAATGACTTGAGAGACGGTCCATGGGGTTTAAATATAGAGGGAAATGGCCTATGAATAAGAGTGCAACCCCTTTTCCAATTGGTTAAGGGTCTTAGGATATTTGGAGTTAAGCATCCTTGGGTTTGAATAAGTACTGGGCTGGGTGACTTCCCGGGAAGTCCAAACTCAGGAGTTTACATTTGGTATTAGAGAGGTCTTGGGTCCAACTCTATTGGTTGGCTAGGGGAATTACACCATCCCGGGAAGTCCAAACTCAAGAGCTTACATTTGGTATCAGAGAAGTCTTGGGTCTAACTCTGTTGGTTGGCTAGGGGAATCACACCATCCCAGGAAGTCCAAACTCAAGAGCTTACATTTGGTATCAGAGAAGTCTTGGGTCTAACTCTGTTGGTTGGCTAGGGGAATCACACCATCCCAGGAAGTCCAAACTCAAGAGCTTACATTTGGTATCAGAGAGGTCTTGGGTCCGACTTTGTTGGTTGGACCAGTGAGGTCTTGGATCCGACTTTGTTGGTTGGACCAGTGAGGTCTTGGTTCCAACTCTATTGGTTGGCTAAAGGAATCACACCACATGTTGATTAACATCTGGTTAGTCCAGTTTGCTCCTGCTGGGCTTGACCCGAGGGGTAGGGTGTCAAGAGAGCGGGGCTCTTGGGAGAGCTGCAGCTCTTAGCTTCCATTCACAAGGGTGTGAATTTGTAGGGAAGGATGGTGGATTGGTCTAGTGAGGTCTTGGGTCCGACTTTGTTGGTTGGCTAGGGGAATCACACCACATGTTGATTGACATCTGGTTGGTCCAGTTTGGTTTTGCTGGGCTTGACCCGAGGGGTAGGG